AGATTTTCCTTTGTTATTGATTTCTGGTTTGATTATGTTAGTTTCAAAGAACATTCTCTGTATGATTTCAATTCCTTTAAAATGCATTGGTTGGTTGGGTAGAGTATGCTCTTTCTCTCTCTGTATATGCGTATACACACACACACACACACACACACACATTATCTTGTTGAAGGATTGTGTTGTTCACATCTGCTATATCCTTTGTATCTTTGCTGATTTTTTGTCTAATAGATCTGTTTGTGCTGAGGTGAGAGTATGGAAGACCCCAACTATATTTATAGACTTGTCTATTTCTCCTTTCAGTTCTATTATTTTTTCATATATTTTGAGGCTCTTTAGGTTGGTGTATACATTTAGGATCATTATGCCTTCTTGGTAAAATAACCCTTTTATTAATGTCTAATAGCCCTTTGCATCTATAGTAATTTTCTTTGCTCTGAAGCCTATTTTAGCAGATATTAATAAGCCACTCCTGCTTTTTTAAATTGCAATTTTCATAGTATATCTTTTTCCATTTTTTAATTTTCATTGACCTGTATTGATGAATTTGAAGTGAGTTTCTTGTGAGAAGCATATAGCTGGTTTGTATGTGTTTACCCATTCTTCCCATTCTTTTCTTTTGATCGTTGTATTTATATTTAACATATTGATATGTTAGCACTTAACTGCCATCTTATTACTTATTTTCTGTTTATTTTTTCTGCCCCTCATTCTTCTCTTTCTCGTTTGTTGCCTTCCTGTGGCTACTTGAACATTTTTAATATTCCAACTTAATTTATTTATAGTGCTTTTGAGTGGGTCTCTTTGTATAGTTTTCATAGGGGTTTCTCTGGGTGTTAGAATATACGTGTATGACTTGTAACAATCTACCTGAATCAACATTTTACCATCTCTAGTGAAGTGTGGAATCTTCATTTCACTTAGGTCCTTTTACCTTTACCTGCTCCAGTTTTAAATATCATAGTTAGAGTCAGATGCTCTAATTTTTGTTTCAATAATCAAATATTCTTTATAAACTCATGATAAAAAGTATGTTGTATGTATCTATATTTCTACTCATTTTGTTTGTCTTTTTCCTTTCTGATGCTCTAGGCTTCTTTCTTTTACCATTTCCTTTCTATTTGAAGAAACTCCTTTAGCCAGTCTTTGAGAGTAGGTCCGCTAGTAATAAATTCTTTTAGTTTTTTTCCATCTGAGAATGCCTTAATTTCCCCTTCTTTCCTAAAAGATGTATTCATCAGATATAAATTTGTGGTTAGTAGTTTTTTTCTTTTAACACTTAAAAAGTGTTTTGTCACTTCCTGTTGGTCTCCATAGTTTCACATTAAAAATCCATTTATTTGAATTGGAACTCCTCTAGCAGTAATGTGCTGTTTTCCAGGATTTTTTCCTTTATCTTTAGTTCTGAAAAGTTTAATTATGGTCTCTTGGTGTGCATTTCTTTGAGTTTTATCTTGTTTGGGATTCATTCAGCTTCGTGTATCTGTAGGTTTTTGTCTTTCATCAAATTTGGAGAGTTTTCAGACATTACTTCTTTAAATGCTTACTCACTCTCACTCTCTCTTTTCTCCTTTTGGGACTCTGATGATATGAATGTTGGGTCTTTTGTTTTTGTCCCACAAGTCTCTGAGGCTCTGTTCCTATTTTTCTCTTCAATTTATTTTCTCTCTGTTGTCCAAGTGGGATGAATTCTATTATTTTGTCCTCAAGTTCCCTAATTCTGTTTTCTCTTATTACCACTTTACTACTGAGCCCATCCATGGAGATTTTTATTTCTGTTACTGTATTTTCAGGTCTATACTTTCCATTCGGTTCTTTTGAGTAACTTATTACTGATAGTTTTTACATTTTCATTTGTATCAAGAGAATTTGTTATTGATTCTGTAAGCCTTTCTATGACTCTGCTTTAAAATCCTCATCAGATCATTTGAACAATTGATTCATCTCAATGTTGATATCAGTTGATTATCTTCTCTCATTCAAGTTGTGATTTTCTTGGCTCTTGGTATGATGAATGATTTCCAATTGTATCCTGGACATTTGGTCTATTATGTTAGCAGACTCTGGATCCTCTTTCAATCTTTTATTTTAGCTTGAAGTTACCCTTTTTAGGTCTTGCACACGCATCATGACCTACTTTTGTCAGCTACAGTTCCAATGACCGTTTAATTTCAGCATCTTTACAGTGCTATTATGGTCTGCTGGGTTTATCTAGTGCCCCTGGAGCTCTTGCTGGTTCTTGCTGCTGCTGCCTGAGGAGGTAAAAGGGGTTCACCCTGCTGGGCCTCCATGTATCTCTCAGTGATAGGACCCCTTTACCACTCTGCACCCCACCTACCACCCTGATGTCTCTGAGTACGTGAGGAGATCCCCAGGCCCTTGGGGACAGAGGAGTTTCTGGATTGAGTCACTTAGTGTGACTGGGTTCCTTTTTCCTCTCCTGCCTGCCTGTTTCTAGTAAGACTTTTTTTTTTTTTTTTAGAGATTTTATTTTTTTCCTTTTTCTCCCCAAAGCCCCCCGGTACATAGTTGTACATTCTTCGTTGTGGGTCCTTCTAGTTGTGGCATGTGGGACGCTGCCCCAGCGTGGCTCGATGAGCAGTGCCATGTCCGCGCCCAGGACCCGAACCAACGAAACACTGGGCCACCTGCAGCGGAGCGCGCGAACTTAACCACTCGGCCATGGGGCCAGCCCCATCTAGTAAGACTTTGATTCAATGCTTTGTAACCTTCTGTCTACAAACTACTTCATATATTGCATCTCCCTCCTTTCAGAAGTATAGCACTCTTGCTCCCCTGAGTACAGACCTTTTAATTACTTAGCACAAATTAGGTTGTCTTGGAAAAGCCAGACAACATTCAGAAATTTTTGTAAAGCTAAAACTGATGCTGAAAGACTAGAGTTGATTTGTGTTAAAAGAGAGATCAGCAAAAACAAATCATTTATTTGTAATTACATAACATTAGACAATTCCTTGTTTAATCAAATGCACAATGTACTTGGTTTTCCATACTCACGTGTATGTATGTGTGTGCTTGTGTGTGTGTGTGTATGTGTGTGTGTAGGGGTATTAGGTGGGAGGAGAGAAGGAAAAAGTCAAAACAATAATAGCAAAAAGATGTTTTTGTAAATGAATTTTTTTTCATGTAGGGACCTACTGGCTCATATTTAGAATGTATTTCTTTTAAATATACATCCATTAATTTCAGCCACAACATATTTTCAAGGCTCATCTATTGTCATACACATCAAGGTCTTGAGGAAAACAGAATGGATTCAATTTGAGATAGAAAAGTATTTAAATAAGAGATCTAGCTTAATAACTTTACTTGCATAATTTTTATGTTTTGCAAGCATTTTCATGCACATAGCCATATTTAGTTATAACAAAAATATGTGGGAGAGAAGGAAGGTGTCAAAAAATAAAACTCAGGTTACAAAATAAAAAAATAAAACTCAGGTTAAAAAAAGTAAAACTCAGGGGCTGCCCTGATGGTGCAATGGTTAAGTTTGCACGGTCCCATTTTGCAGCCTGGGGTTCACCGGTTCGGATCCTGGGTGTGGACATGGCACCAGTCCTCAAGCCATGCTGTGGTAGGCATCCCACATACAAAGTAGAGGAAGATGGGCATAGATGTTAGCTCAGGGCCGGTCTTCCACAGCAAAAAGAGGAGAATTGGCAGCAGATGTTAGCTCAGGGCTAATCTTCTTCAAAAAAAATATTAAAAAAAGAACTCAGAGAGCTTAGAGGTCTTATCCAATATACCTAAGCTAGTAAAAGACAGTAGTGGGGACATGTACTCAACGTCTCATTTTAGGCTTGTGGGAAATGATGGAATCCATTTCCTAAAGATTGCTTGAGGTCAGAATAGATGAGTGATGCCTATTTTGGATCGAGACAGAAGGACATAACTCAAAGACTTCCCTAAGTCCTTTCCAGCTTCTTATTTTATGCATTTAATTTTCCTAACGATTCACTAAAAATCTGAGGGCTTGCTTTACTTTATTTTTTAAATCCAAAGTTAAAAATGTAGCAGGGGCAGGCTTAGGAGAGAGCATTAAAGTGATGGCACTTCTTTTTATTTTCTGATAGAACAAATAGTTTCCTTGATAGGCAAGTAACTTCCGGGGGTCAGCCTACTTGCAGGCAGGATTTCAATGCTATTTCTGAGCTGGCAGCTACCTCTGCTGTGCGCCCTGCCTAAGATGCCAGGTTCAGTGAGCAAAACTTGCACAGTGTCGCTTTGAAGATAAAGTCATGTCTCCCAGGAGGCTCTGTCAACAAGCCTGATGAGATTAAGGGCTGGCGCTTCGCGTCTTTCTTTGGTTGTGCTCGGACTTTTGAGCCCTTTGGGTTATTCTTTACTAATCTGAAGCAATCACTGCTTGTGGCTATTCTGTAACTGTTTGAACCGTTAAACAAGCCTGACTGTCAGGTTTCCAATCCCGGAAGAAGCTGCAAAATGAGTGGAATGACCTCGGGCATTGTTTCCAGTACCCATTGTAATCGTCTCTAGATTTAAACCTGAGGGTTATAGACAGAGTTGCACATTTAAACGTGGGCATTCCTTTTTCGGCTGACAGGCAAAATTGGAATTTGCTAGAATCTCCTTCCCTTAATTTTGGACCTAGGGAATGAGCCTTACTCATTATTTAAAAAGTAATTTCTTTAATAGAGTGAGACCCCCTGGCACAGTCCCGCGGTGATGTGCTGCATATTTGGTCCTGCCTTCAGTCGTGCTGTGGATTATAACGTGGTTTTCCTAAATACAGTGACACATTGTCTATTTCTTTCATTGTAGAAATAAAGATCCTCCCTGATTGTTTTGTGTTTTTTTTCTGTCAATGCCAATATTATAGTCAGGTTTTTCTATACTTCAGAGAATGTTTATGATGGTATCCCTTAATCTTAAATAGTGCTTGTTTTCATTTCCTTCTTTTAAGGGTCAATACATTGTAAAGGCTTTGCAAATTGAGAAGGTTCTTAGATCAACACTTCTTTTCTGAAATTTAATCGATGTAAATAAGAAGCGTTTGGGGTGTTTAGTTTGCTTTTCATTTCAAAATGCTTTCTTGTTTTTTTCTTCCTTAATGTTTAAATCATACAGAGCAACCTCTGCAGCGATAACGACTTGCTGAATGAAGCTGGACGGCTTCCGCTCTTCTCACTAGTCCTGGTCGCTGCTGTAGGTCAGCGTGGGGGCTGAGAGATTTGCAACACAGCAGGTCGTTCATTAGCAATTCTGGAATAAGAACGCAACAGAAATTCATTCAGATATGATGATTGTTCTAAGTTCTGACTCGAGAATGCACATAAGATTTTAAATCCCTCGATACTCCACGTATTTCTGCTTCGTGAATTAAAACTATACTCAAACAACCATTCTTCATGTTATTGTTATACAACTCCCGTGACTAGTGTTGTCTAAGCACAAGAGACAATACCAAATGACAACCTTTAAGCAAGATGGATGCTATCTGTGTGGGCTTTTTTTTTATTTCTGGTGATTTCTTAGGATATTGTGTGCAAGGTCACCTTCTGCAGTTTAATTTTTAACAGGATATATATTTATATGCTTTTATACAGGCATATATAAAGACTCAGCGTATTGTTTAAAGGAGTCAGAGAATGTTAATCTCTCAAATATGTTAATTTAGTGTCTTTCAAAACAACAACCTTTTACCTCTGTTGATACCATGTCTGAAAATGTTCGTATATCTGACAATTGTTTTTTTTGTTGGCTATAACCAATTACTTCAGAAAAAATAATAAGTGATTTATAACCAGGTTTTTTTGGTAAAAACAATGGTTGTTTCATTTAAAGATATATATATATATATATATCTCCAATTTGGGAAAAACAAAAAATTCATGGATGTGACAAATATACTCTGTGAAAGCTACAACTATCTGAATTATTGCCTTCTGATTAAGCCACTGACTCAAATCTGACCAAAGCAATAATGTCTATTGTTTTGATTGGAAGTTTTAACCATGTTCTGTCCAGTGATGAAACACTTGTTTCTTTAAACGTAGATACAATTTTAAATATATACCCCAAACACTGCGAGGAAGCAAAAGAAACTATAAAACTAATGGCTAAAAGGCCACAGAGATCAACAGAGAAAGCTCTCACAATTCAGTGATTTTTCCTTAATTTTCCTTCCTCTTCCCCTCCTGTTATTTTTGCAGTTTCTTTCTCTTGGAACACACTTTGAGTTTCTGACTCTCCATTTCCTCAGCTTTGAAATGTAGGTGTTAATAGAGCCTACCTCACAGAGTGGATAAAAGGTTGAAATAAGTTAATATACGTAAAAATAGTCCGCATACTCAGTCCCAATCCTGGCACCCTGGAAGGACTTGACAGAATTGTGTCACTGGCATTATTATACATTTTGCAAGACTCTGCTCCCAATTCTAGAACTCTTTCAAAATTCTAAAACTCGTCTATGATGGGTCCCTCTTGGTAGAGCTTAGACTTTGCAGACTAGATTCTCTAAGTTGAATTTCCCCTGAATCTAAACATTTTAGTTGTATTCTCAACCTCATCTGCTGGGATAAGGTTCTCTTAGATCTGAAGGTAATGGTTACTGTGCCGTCTGTGTGAATAATGTTCCTTTGAATTCTGCTACACGTGATATGGTGCACAGCTTAGTACTCCAGTAATAGCCCTATGGGATCAGGGCTCCCAGGATGAGCAGGGTTTTGGCAGCCAGATTGTAAACTCCATCTACCTGCCTCCTGGAAATGCCTAAGCAGAGTCGGAGAATTTCCTTGTTAGATTTCTGAACTGGCTGGAGGCCTGGGTAGATGACCTCTAAGAGACCTTCCCATCAATCTGTGACCAGCTTCTAGTAGGGTCAGGGAGCCAGGGCTTCACAAGCTGTGTGTGGAGTCCACCAATAAAATGTTTCAAAGTGATTTCCGCTTGACTGACCACCATTTCCAAAATTACCACTCAGTTTGGATTTCCCCAGATGAGGCAAAGCTGTTTGTGTACTCAGGGCATCCATGTCTAACTTTGCATAGCTGACGTTCTGAGCTTTGTGAAGAGTTTATGAAAATGCAGAGATTTATTTTTGGCAGTCCTGTAAGCATGAAGAGTTGCTAAATGTGTTCTTTGCTGAAAAGATAGGGATGCTTCACTTATTTTCTAGCAATCGTAGGTGCCTTCTTTCCATATTTAATTTATGAGTGACTTTATCTTATAGCTCTAGTGCTGCAGGAAAAGTAGTCAAGATTCCTGAAAAGGAATACTGCTTTTCCATAAAAACAAAGCAGAGCTAATTGCTGTGATTTCGATTTCAATAAATGATTAACAATTTTAATCTACTCCCTTATGCCCTGTGACCATACCAGTTTGAATCCCTGACAACAGTGCCTGGCACTTTAAAATATTGAAACCATAGGAAGAAAGATTTAAGGTGCCCGTCAATCCATCAGAGCTTTGGCTGTTGTGAATTCAGCCTGGCACAGGCTGATCTGTGTTCCTTAGAAAGTGTCCATCTATCACGTTGAGATGCTTTTAAAATTTGGAAATACTCCATGAATTGTAATAATTTTGTACATTTTCACAATACCAGAGCTTAATTTTGTGTTTTAATCATTTTAATTAAAAAATCTATTTCAACCTAAACTGATACATCTAAGGTATTACAATAATTCGTCCGTAGTGGTTGTGGAATTATGCTTAGAATAACCTGTTCCTGTTATAATTTTTCTCTTGCATAGACAATATTAAGCAAATTATTCAATTTTTCTTCCAAGCATTCTTTTCGTTGAGAAATCCCTACATGCCGGTAAATGGCAAATTTGAAATCATTGTGTTTGTTACAGTTCTCCAGTGACTTCTGTTATACTTAATTGTAAGTAATTAAAGTTTGTGAAGAGAGAATTTTAATTTTAAGTAAAATTTTAATAGATATGGAACAAGGCAAACCAGATCCACCTGTAATATTGTCATTCACTATAAGTCCTGCTTATTTTTAACTTAGCCTGAATCCTCCAACTCTGCAATATTGTAAAATGTCAGCTATACATGAAACATCAGATAATCCTTTAACGTCAACTGTATGCTCCAACAACTCAGTTTACAGTTTTAATATTAGAGTCTATTATTTATTTGCTTAAATGACATATTTTAGTTTTAGAAGCAAACTCACTGTTTTATTTTCAAGTCTTATGTTACTCTTTATATGGGAATATTCCATAATAAGTTACCTAATAAAGCTGTGTTTCGTTAAGTAAAATCAGTTAATTACACAATAATATTCTATAACTTTTTAAAATGAGCCGTTTAAATGTGGTTTATCCACTTGTTTTGTACAATCAACTAAGCAAAGAGACACAGATTTTCCTTCTTTCCAAGGATTCTTTCTGAACCACTTTGTTTAAACACAGAAATACTTAATAGTAATTTCTGGGTAACAGACCAACATATTTATAATGCAAGAGAAAGACAAAGAGGAGTGGTTCTTATCTGAATTCAAAATTTTAATAGGAAAAATGACTTCATTTAATCCATATCCTTGAATCTTCCTCAAAACTAATCCTATTGTCAATTTATTTTTCATTCAGCCCATCTTCTTAAATATTTGTTTAAGCCTTTGTCACTCAAGAATTCAAAGGAAGATGTATGCCAAGAGTTCTTTCTCTTACTTTCTTTTTTTTTTTACATCTGTAATTAAAACAGAACTGTAAAAGTGGGAGAGGACTGATTTTGGAGATTAATTGGAATAAGAAAATTGGGCGAGATCCTAATTATCATTTTCTTTCAGTAATTTTGTTCTTTATAATAGTAAATGTATTTAAATTATCTATTCCCAAAATATCTTTGAAGACTAGATAAATTTTGTGCTTGTTTAGGGACTTAGGTAGAAAGCAGAGTGTATGAGATTAAGGGCAAAAAGCAGAAATTCTGACAAACTGTTGCGTCATCGCCAGATGATCCTGACTGTTTGTGTGTCCCTGGAGTTAATGGAAAGACTCGGCTGGAGTAACTCCCCAACTCTGCAGCTTCTCAGTCTTTGGAGCACTGTGTACGCCCTGGAGGAGCATGGCGGGTTTTCTCCTTTTGATGGCGTTACATGACTCCCCACACTTATGCACTGGTCCTATTTGAAGTGTCATTAGAGCTACTAGGAGTGTGACTCCTAAAAATGCCTTCTGTGCTGTCTTCGTTTCAAGTTCTAGGTCTCAGCTTCTGTAGCTTAACTATGAGAGAAGGAAACGGCATCGCCTGAATGCCTGTTGTATGCCAGCAACGACGCCAGACCATGTTTCTTTAGTCTGAACCCTTAAAAACAGTTTTTTTATGAGGAGGTGGGCATTCCCACTCCACAGATGGGGAAACGGAGTCTGAGTGTTAAGTACCTAGCCCAAGGTCACAAAGCAGGTAAACAAGAGAGTTGGGATAAAAACTCAATATTAATGACTGTAAAGCTCATCTATTTCCCCAAACACCAAGGGGGAAAGAATACAATTTTCAATGAATTCCATAAGCAGAAACATGTGCTATTCCTCATGAAAAGGGTCAGCCGCAGGCCTTAGCTGTCAGGAGTAGAGATGATGGACCCATGCTGCCTAGGTTTGATTCCTAGCATTGCTTTCTTGAGGCGGTGTGACCCTTCAGCAAGTTACTCAGCCTCTCTGGACTCAGTTTCCCAAATGCAGAATGAGGATGATAATAGCAGCTGTGGCAGAGAGCGCTGTGAGGATTAAATAGTCAGGACTCGGCTCATAGTAAGTGCTGGCTGTTATTATTAATTATTGTTGCTATTAATTTTAACAGAAGGGTCTTCGGAGGTCATCTTTTTTAACCTTTTCTTTTTCTAAGAGGCTGGGGTCCTGAGACGTGGGAGGACTTGCCCAGGGTTACAATGCAACAGAGAAACAGCATTTGGTTTTCCTAACTTTCAACGTAGGCGTTACATTGTAAGCAAAAACAACATTCAGAAGATAATGAATGCAGATGGTGTATTTAGAATGTATTATTGTACTAGTTTATGAATCCCTAAGCCTTTTCTTCAATATGCCTATTCCTACTGAGAAATAATATAGCCTAATTGTAAATTTTTATGGATATTGATAAAAGGAATGAATCAGCAAATTATGAATACACTGCTAGATTTTATAATTCCATAAAATTTAGGGATAGCCTCTTTTATGTACAAATAAAATGTTACATGGGACTGGTGAATGAAAAATGATGGTAAAAAATATTTTAGTTAAATGTGAGAGATGTCTTTTTTTAAGCTAAAGCATTTAGGACTTCTTGAATATTTGTCAAAATTAATGACATGGAGCAGAGTTGTTATTCTCCCCTGATGTCTTAAATGGGTTGGCTTCCTCTGCAGTGCACGTTCTGTCTAAAAGAGAAAAGAGCACATTGATTAATGCACATATATCTCAGGTTGTTAAAGTTTCAAAAATGATAAAACTCTGTTTTCACAACAGATTAGAAATATTTCCCTTCTTCTGGAATAAAAGTGATGAACTACATAAATATAAAAATCAAAAGTGGCTGTAAATGATGAATGCTACACTTTTCCTAAAAAATTGTTTTTCTCTGATGAAAGAAAAAAGCAGAAAACTGGTCTTTTTGATTTGTATAAACTTAGAGGAGAATAGTTTCTGGACTTCTTTTCATATTAATAGTCAACACACAAATTACTGAGCACCTGTTATATGTGAGACAATACGTTAGTTGCTGGAGACATTGAAATTAATAAGATGTAGCTTTGACCATCAAGGACTTTACAAAGACTAGTTATATTTTTTTGGTCTAGCATGTTGCTTAGTTACCAATACAAACTGAAATTATATAATAGCATTGAATGGTTTCGTTAATAAATACAATAGACTTGAGACAATGTCAGAGCATAAATACTAATTAAATAGTCTTCTCTTATTACCATATTCTAATTACATTAAATAGTATCAGAGGTACAGTTAATTTTCACTTCAAAAGCCATTGTAATTTCTTTGGTTTGTATAATTAAACTAGAAGAGCTGTAATACATTAAAACAGAGCTGTGCAAGATTACTTAAATGACAGCATTTTGCTTTGGGGCAAACAAATAAGACATTTCCAGAAAATGCAAGTAATCTCTTAATTAGGCATCGTTCACAGATTGTGAAAATGCTTCTTTATTTCATTAATAAGATTGTATCTTATTTGCCTATTTATTTTTATCAAGTGCACCATCTCCATATTCTTGGTCATACGTTTTCATAATAGAGTGAAAGAATTGCCAACCAGCATACTTTTAATCAGATTTTACAGTGCCTCTTTCCTCTGATAATTTCTGAGGATAACTTACTGTCATCAGGGGATGATACATATAGTGATGTCAATTAGTATTGAAATTCCTAAATAATACACTAATATTTTTACTTAAGATTCTTCTAAGAGAAAATTCTAAGACAGTTTACCTTGGTATCAAGGTATATGTCCATACATACAAAGATACACACAAAATATTTCCAAATAAAAACTGTACTCATATTTTATCCGTGCTTTCATTTTTCGGGTTTCTTAGACTTTTCAGTTGAAGTCTACCAAGGGGATAGACAGGGTGTAGCTCGAAGGAATTCCTTCAGTGTTATGTATGTTAAAGTAAAAGGAAAGTCAGTTCTTCCCAGTGGGAAGTCTGGTGAGTTGGAAATGCAGGAATAGAGCTCAAGGAAGAGACATAACGTAGAAGAGATGGAAAGGCAGACCCGAGCTCTGAGAGTGAGATGACCCATGTGCAATACAGGGATTGTTGGAAAGCTAAGAGGAGAAATTGATCACTCAGGGTCAAAGAAACTGTGGAATGGAGAAATTCCTTAAGATAGGGGTGGTCCCCGGTGTAGTGGAGACGAAGAACAAAGATAATCCAGGAGGAGTCTTTTGATTATGCAAAAACAGAGAGGCTTGAGTTTAGGGTAATTAGGGTAGGATGGAATAGGAGGAAAGGAAAATGTTTCGTGTTGATCACATATCAAGTAATTTGATAAAATTATAAATAATTAAATATGATGGTAGATTTGACAGCAAGCTCAGATCCAGGTTTTTTTTTTAATTTTAATGTGCTATTTATTTTCCTGCAAGGTGTTTACATGACAGAAGGACGTTCTGTTATTCCTTATTTCAAAGAACAAATATTTATGGAGCAGATTCTCTGTAAAATAAAACATTGTTTATGCCAGGTTGGGGCAAAATGAAAACAATAAAGATTAAGAAGGTTTCAATTTAACATAAGAAAGGTGAAGATTATTGGGGTCAAGAATTGATGGGCTCACGGCCACAGATCAAGCAATGACACCATTCACGTGGAATGGGAGAACCAATGACTCAGGAAGTAAGAGAGACCTGCAGTCTCCACGCTCACGTAAGATCCACCATCAACAACGTATTTCCGTTACTTCCATAGACGCGGATACAGTGAGCGATAACCAGTCACATAAGAAACATCCCTTGCCCGTGAGAAAGAGTTGGCAAACTCACTCACAACGTTTTTGCAAGCCGGTGCGTATTTGTGTGCACCAATAGCTCTGCAACAGCAGAAGGAAAGATCATTTCTGCCTCGGGAGAGCAGGTAAGGTGTGAGGAAAGCTTTGAATGGGATCTTGGCCTTAGGAATGGAAGTACTCCAGCAGTAATAAACTGGAGGAGGAGCAAAAGCCCAAGAGTGTGGAGGGTTTAGCAAACCATGAGTTGAATAGAAAACTGGAAGCATAGGCTTTGTTTAGAGGATTAGTGGACGAGGAAGGTGGAGGAAGATGAATTGCAGGTTGCGGAGGGCCTTGAGCGCCTAGGAAAGGGTTGATGCTTCATAGGCAGACAGTACTGAGCAGGGAAAGCTGAGTCAAAGACTGTTCAGGAAGATTTCTTTCAACACAGCTCTGAACAAAGAAGAGGAAAAACTCGTGGTGGAGTGTTATCATCTTAAAGTCTATACTCTGAAAATGAAACCTCAAAAGTAGACTGACTTTTCTGAGAGGTGAAATGTTCATGGGAAATTATGTGAGTGTTTGCAAGGACAACTGAGAAAAAATAAAGCCACTTGTGTTAATAAGTGATCTCCTGATGAGATTAGAAATAGAAGTAGGAAGTGTTTTGAGGGGAAGACTATAAAGAAATGAAAAAAAAAATGATGGTTCCTACTTGCTAATTAGGACAGAATGGCAACTTCAGAAAAATCACAGTGGTGAGTATTACTGTTCCCTCAAAGACAAGGGACTCTTTTTTTCATCCCATCTAATTGAGGAATTGTCTATTCTTCCTTTGAATTTGAGTAGTTAAATATAAGAATAATTTTAAAAAGAGGAAAATGTAGAAATGGTTTACCATGAGCACTCTAATAATGAAAATCATTGCCAAATCATTTGGTAATATATTTTCCAGCACCTCTTCACATTGAGCAATTTCCTATGCAACAGTGGAAATAACGGATAAGAGTGATTTTCTTGGCTGGGAAATAACTGATTCAAAATGAATGAAAATCTTGAACTCAGGCACACTTAGGATGTTCGTTATG